TTGTCACAAGTCGGGTAGACGAAATTTCTCCGTTTAGCAGACTCGCGTAATGTACTTTCATATCGTCTGAAATATCGGTAGCATTAGAGGGGAAAAAGTCTTCCTGTCCCATCACAAAATCCCAATCGATATCTTCGTCCTCGAAGCCAACAAAATCGTTTACGTACTTCCACGACATGCTGCTCAAAAATCGGCTTCCAATGTTTTGATTCTGATTCTGAAAACTTCTGCGCAACCGCACAATTTTTTTCCACAAAGCATGTCGAGTAAATCATTAATGGTAATGATATACGGGTCAACTTAAAAATGACCCCTGACAAGTTGCATCAACTGCGGATTACGTATAGGTGTCAACGGTTTATTTACCCGATACGCGCAATAGGACAATAGGACAGCGGCCGTTTCGAGGCCGGTGATAGAGGGACTATGGTTAAAACAAAGGATGTTGATGATCTATGGTGTGTGATTCAAGGCGAGGACATCGTAATCGCTTGTTTTGGTGGACTGTAAAACACGATCCGAATAAGAAGCTTTACAGAACACGTCTTTACACATAAAACTGATACTATCCGATATGGTAGTTGTCAAAGGCTGCGAAATCTGGTATTCTCAATTGTAGTGACACATAAACTATAAATATCTGAAAATAGCTTTAAGGCCAATCGATTGTATCACAAAAGGACTGAACAAGCCATGCATGGCACAGTCTCCGTTATCAAATTTAAGATATATAGTTTTGTTTATAGTAATATAGCTGGAATATAACCATGTCAGGAATATGATTTTTTTAACATTAAATTGATTGACATTTGTATCTGATCGTCAAACAAGTACTTGTCCATATTGAGAGATATTGCTCTGAAACAGCATTCAAAATCAGCCATTTTAAATACATGTATATATATATATAACATGATGTATAACGAATATATAAACTTTGAATATAATCAGTCAAAGCATTTAAGAGATATGGCTCTAGAAGCCCAATCATTAAAACAAAATGGCCGCCAGTCAGCCATTTTGAATCCAATCAGAAAAATAAAATGATGTGCATCAGGAACCTGTAATGTCTAACATATGTACCAAATTTGAACGAAATCCATCCATAAATGCTTGATATTTGATGATTTTTTAGCACAAAAATGGGCTGGCCACCATTTGGCCATTTTGAATAGGATCGTCAAACCAATATATCTATCTATGACATGATGTATAATGAATATTTAAAATTTGAACATAATCAGTGAAAGCAAGTCAGAGATATGGCACGAGAACCACATTCATTAATACAAAATGGCCGCCAGTCGGCCATTTTGAATCTTATCTGAAAAACAAAATTATTTGCATCAAGGTCCCATAATGTCTAATGTATATACCAAGTTTGAACAAAATCCATCTGTAAACAGCCGAGAAATCGTTGATTTTTAGGATTTTTTAGCACAAAAATGGCCGCCATTCCGCCATCTTGAATCAGATCGTAAAACAAAATGATGTGCATCATGGTCCTATAATGTCTAACGTATATACCAACTTTGCACAAAATCCATCTGTAAACAGCCGAGAAATGCTTAATTTTGATGATTTTTAGCAGAAAAATGGCCGCCATTCGGCCAGCTTGAATCAGATCGTGAAACAAATTGACGTGCATATGTATAACATCATGTATGATGTATATGTGAAGTTTGATTGTGATTGGTCCAGGCATTTCTAAGATACAGGTCCGGACGCACGCACAGACGCACGCACGCACACACGGAGATCAAAACTGCGTCCGAACGGGGACTAAATAATGAGGCATTCTTTGTGCTTAATACTACGGCAAAAAATAAAACTCCAGGGAATGATGGAATTCCATCTGAGTTTTATACATACTACCTTCTGGCCTAAGACGGGGCAATTAGTGGTTGAATCACTTAATTATGCATTTGAACAAGGAACACATTCTAACTCGCAACGGCAAGGAATAATTTCCTTGATTAAAAAAAGGGTAGAGATTCAAGGTACATTAAAAACTGGCGTCCAATATCTCTCATTAACATTGATGCTAAGATAGAATCTAAATGTCTAGCCAAACGTCTACAGTCAATCTTGCCACACCTTATAGATAGTCAGCAAAGTGCATTTGTTAAGGGTAGAGATATTTGTGACTACATGTATATACGTTTAATAGAAGAAATCCTGTCATATACACATGAAAATAACCTACCAGGGATTCTACTTGCAATAGATTTTGAAAAAGCATTTGACAGTGTTGAATGGGATTATCTCAAAGAATGTTTGAATATATATGGATTTGGCCCAAACTTTAAACAATGGACAGATACCGACTAAACAAATTTGAGTAGTTGTGTGATGACGAATGGCTTTAGTACCGGGTATTTTGACATACGCCGAGGCGTAAGGCAGGGAGACCCGTTGGCACCCTATCTTTCCATTCTCTCACTTGAGATATTTCTGATTAATCTCAGGAATAACAAGAACATAAATGGCATTAAAATCAACTCATTTGAAGCAAAGTATTCAGCATTTGCAAATGACCTCTCATGTTTTGTCAGAGATGAAAAATCCTGTAAATACATGTTCAAAATGCTGAATGATTTCCACCTAATGTCAGGCTTGAAAAATTAATAAAGAAAAAACTGAAGCATTATGGCTGGGTAGATGGAAAAGAAGGAAGAAAACAACTTTCCGTATTAAATGGTCAATTCAACCAATTAAGATAGCAGGAATATTTATCTCTTACAACTATCAGTTAAACGAGGAATTAAACTTTGCTGGGCCTCTTTACAATATTGAAAATGTTCTAAAACTATGGAAGAAAAGGTCATTAACCTTGCTTGGTAAAATCCAGATACTGAAGTCATTTGTTCTGTCAGAACTCACTTATGTTATGAGAATAGTAAGCATACCTGAAGATATTTTTCAAAAGGTTGAGCAGTTGGAATGCAAAAGATAAAATTGCAAGGAAAGTGATGGTTAGGGAGATCTTCAAAGGTGGACTCAAAGCACCTGATATTTAAATAACTCATGAATTGGTTCGTATTAATCTTATCAAAAGATATCTCACTGAAGAAATTTCACATCCATGGAAATTGATCCTTGACCATTGCTTGGAACCATATGGTGGGAAATATCTTTTCAAATGTAATTTTGATATTAAGACTCTTAAACCAGTACTCTCAGAATGTTATATTGAAGCAT